TACTCAAGCAATGGCCTAACCGAACTCGCCCGTCTGCGTAGGGTACAACATTCTGATTTTGTCACACGTTTACCAACTATATTTTCAACTACCTCAGAGTTTTTGAGCTTTTAAATTTGGATTACCTCAACCGACCTTACATGCACAGCCAATCCACTTACCGAGGAGTTGACCTTCTACTTCTATATTTAGCAATATTTGTATACACGTTCGTACATCACAGTTGATTAACGCCATATGCTATATATATATATATATCTGCTTGTTTGTTTCAAGTCAGCGACTGAGAAGATTAAACCACGATATTTATCTGCCTTTTTATTGATGACATAGATAAACGGGAATCAGCGCTTTAAGTTTCAATTGATCTGGTTCAGACTCTGGATTCACATATTGCACGATGTGAACAGAACTGATTGACTATCACTGAATATTACACATGAACAAACATGAATTGGCAATTCGGTTCAGCCATGGTATGACCGGGTTGGTACAGTAGTAACGCACGAGCATTCCGTGCGATGGGTCCGGAGTTCAAATTCCGGACGGGACGGTGGACAGGCACCACTGATGAGCTCTAATAAGAGCGAAACTTGAGTCTAGTACTTCCGAGTATGTGGTTGAATCGATGAACTGAGGATTGTGCGTGAAGTTGAATTTCGAAGGGTAGTCAGTTCAGATCAATCAATATTATTATTTTATTACACGATGTGACTGGGATGACCCCATAGTTACGAGGACCTGCTTTTCAGTTATGGAAATCGATAACCCAAGCCCCCAGACTTGGAGTGGCAAACTACGAAAGGCGCTACTAGGTTAGGCGTGCAATTGAATTGCACCTAGCTGTCTACCACTAAAGTTCTATAGAGATTGCGGGGTGCGAGTCTCGGACCACAGGAATCAGAACGCCCAGTTGATAGCGACCAAACCATTGCTCTACCATCAACTTCACTACTTTACGATGTCAACAGAACACTAGCTTAGCATAAAAGCCCCCTGTTGGATAGTTTTGTGAAAATAATTCTATAAAATACACTACTCCTTTGGAAGCCCAATGAACGCACGATTCGCCAGACTTGCTGAAGCTAATCGGTGGATATGATGCCTGCAGCTGTTGCGTCTTCATTCGTTTTGAAGGCTGAAAAAGCGAGCAAGGGAGAAACACTGAATAATCCGAAAAATTGTCGTGAGACTACATTCAAAAACGTTTTATTCATCCCATTCCAGTGGTACTCATATATGTATTTGAATTAGTCGATCTTATGACAAAACATTTCATCATCATTATAGAATAGTACTCGCTCCTGCTGCTCGACTTGGATTATACCGTGGTTCGTTCTTATCTCAAATTCGGTCAGGAACTGGTCGGTTCGGTGAAGTGTGGCGTGGCACGTACGAGGGTGAGAATGTGGCGGTGAAAATATTTTCCAGTCGAGATGAAGCCAGCTGGGTTCGAGAAACGGCCATTTTTAACCGTTTCACTCTTCAGCACGAAAACCTTATCGGATATGTGGCCAGTGATATCACTTCGAGGTAATCCCATTTTGATAGACTGTACAGAACAAGCACGGTCAACCGTTTTCCTTTTGTTTTATTTTGATAAAGTGGAACTTTTTGATCGGGGTTTTGCGAAATGTGAAATAGGAAAAAGATTAGAAATTTGTAAGTAGAGAGTCCAAGAGAAAATGGATGATAACTTCAGTAGATGGGAAGAAATTCAGACAAATGCACACACACAACTGTTTGCAACACCCAGCCATATCACTCAGTGTCTCTCGGTGTCTCTGTGATCTCGACGCCCCATCCAGGTAGCCTAAAGTGACCTATGTAACCAAATATCCCTGTTACCGTTTTCATACTCTCATCAAAAGTCTTATATTTGGACCACCCTTGGCTTTTTTCCAATCACTACCTGCCTCGGCAAACCTTGCGCGCCTGTCTTTCTCGGGACGTTAGTCGCTTGGCCACTCGGGTTTAAGAACACGTCCCGAGAACTCTAGCACTCAATGACTCGAAGATCTCCTCCAGCTCTAATACCCGCAACATATTCGACTGCAAATTTTGCATCGATTCAATGCAAGCATCCCGAGTGTTAAGCCAACAGAAACGGGGCGGTTGTTACGGTTTGCTGAAGCCGTAGTCATTACAAACCAGACGTCTGCAAACAATTAGACCTTGTGGCCAGCCTAACCCTCCCATGTTAGGGCTGTCACCTTGATCCAGGTCGATGAACATGTTCTCCCACCCTATCCCTCTGTTCAAACCGACTGCCATTGGCAACCTTTGACCTTCACACTGATTTCGCCTAGTCGAGCGTTTTTGATGTTTAAAGATTTGTCATTGTCCTGATCGAACTTTCATATGAATGTTTGTACACAGCTGAAGAGATAACGTGAAACAGTGTAATTCAACCTGTCCTGTGATGATGCTTGTTCTTGCTCCTATGAAATTCCCAAAGGGAACCGGATGTATGGAAAATGAAATCTATTTAGTGACACGCAACACATTCTATCTCACTTTGATATGAATTCAGATTATATCAAATAGATTGCGAAAACAATTATCTATGTCACATAATTTTAATCCACTTTTTGAGGAAACTGTTATTGGTAAAGTTAAACGAATAGTTGTATATTAATTCTTTGTTTTTATGAAGTGTGATTATCGAAGTAGTCTTTTATAAATGCGCACGCAACACGTTCATCATCAGATTTACCACTTATTTAATATTTAAGTACAATTCCAGTTTTCCAGTCTAAATGAAAATAAAATCTTAGTTGATTTTTTCATCCGTCAGTGTGCGATGAGCAACGCGGGACTAAACCGAGGGGGCCGAATCACAGCATTTACAGCAACTTAAAGAGTTCAGTGAGCACCGCCACCACCACCACGACCAAACAAACTGTGTCAGGACCAAGACTCACAACCCTGAAATTCTGCGAACTTCCTAGAGTACACAGATGATATCGTCTATCTGTTCGAAAGTCTGGAGGACGAGCGAATGACACTTGATAGACTAACAAGTGCTGTTGCTACATTCGGTATGTGCTTTGCACCTTCAAAGTGCAAAGTAATGCTGCCGCTCTGAAACTAAATGGCTAGGAATTAGTTATTGTGGCTTACTTCTCCTACTTCGGTATTTGCGTGATCAATAACGGTACTGTAGTAAAAGAGATAACCACCGACATTTCCAAAGCTCGAGCAGCATACGCAGAACCGAAGCACCTTTGGCGTGGACACGATGTTTCACTGAGGTTGAAAGATCGTGCACATAATGCCACCGTTCGCTCAGTTCTGCTTCATGGTTGTGAGACCTTGAGTCTGCGAGCAGAAGATATCCGTCGACTGGAAGTTTTCAATGATCGGTGTTTACGTAGCTTAGGCCATGTGAGATGGAGCAAACGGGTTAGTAATCTGGAGGTAAGACGTTGTGTGGCTGGGAGATTATCAGAGATAAACCTGCTATCACACCGAATTCAGATTAGTAGGCTTCGCTGGCTAAGGCACCTATTGCGCATGCCCAGCTCTCGTCTACCGCTCCGTGCTTTATTCACTGTAGCTAATTCGGGCTGGAGGAAAGCACGTGGAGGTCAACAGATAAAATGAAGACGAGGTATGAAGAAATGCACAGAGAAATTGCACAGAGTAGGTGTCTCTCACCTTCGAGGTTGGGGTCCGAAAGACTCCACAACTGGTTGGTTGGAGACATTAAAGGATATGGCAGCGAACCGACTGCAGTGACGTTCTCGTTGTCATTTATTATCACGCCATGATACTTGAAACGATATGTTTGCATAGTTCGATTGTGCACTCTGTTTGCGATAGACGTTGACCTTCTTCTCCCTCTCTCAGAATAAGTCAAATCCCTGTCCACCTTAAATTTTACCACTAACCTTGTATGCATTGCGAGTTTGGCAGCGATCAGTAAACTTCGCCTCACTGTATGTCACTGTATGATAGTGATTTGTTCCAGGTACGCTGAATGCTAAGAATCTCGGGAGCTCGCTGAAATACGGTCACAGGGGTGGAGAAGGATGCTTGGACGAAGATAGTGCGCGAAATTACATATCAGAATTAGGTGCTATTATACCTCATGAGTCGCCCAACTGGAATCGTAGGAGTTTTGTGGCGTTTAGCAGCGATCAGTGAAGTTCATCTCACTGCATTTCGCCACACGATGATGACGATGATGACGATGATGATGATGATGATGATGATGATGAAGTGGACGAATCAATTACTTCGAGCTCAGACCACCACCTCACGGGATTTTATGTTACCTAAAAACGAACCTAATAATAATAAGAAGAAAGAGAACAATTCGGCTGGTGAGCACAGATAACGAGTAGTATCAATGAGGTACGCGATGAGCTTCAAATATAAGAATCCTAAGGGTTAGTTACTCAAAATTGCTAATCTCTGTGATTCATTTTTGAACTTCCTTCCGACGTAATTGATTCTCATTGATGCCACATGCGATAGTGAAGTCGAATTTCAAAATAATGCATCACATCAAATCACATCTTATGATTAATAGCAGACTACAGGCAAATAATTCGTTCCAGATATACTCCGTTTTCATAACAAATTTTAGGGAACACGAACTAGACCAGCTGGCAGACCCGTTGAATATCCTATCAGATGCGATGGAAATGTTTGTGATAATCGACAAAGAGCACTGGATAGCTGTTTCGTTCTGTTTGGGACTCGTCAGCAGTGCGTACTTTTTGTGTCTCTGTCAGGGCAGTCGGGTCGGGACTTCAAACCCTTACGCCCGAGCTACACGGCTGACGGTCATCACCTTGTGCGAATGGCTCAATCAGTTTAGAGTATCAAGCTTGGATTAGCCCATTCGATTGTTCAGACGCACAAGGCACTCTTGATGGTCAAACTCTGTATATCACTTGAAAAAAGAACACAAATTATAACTTAACGTGTTTCTCGTTTTTTTCTGAGACCTTCAGTGGACAATGGTGGCCGACTGGTAAAGAGTACCAACTCCCCCCCTCCGGAGAACATGTGTTGGAATCCCATCACCAACGCCGTCGCCGCCGTTGCTGCCTAAATTCTTCATTCTGTGTTCTATAGTAACCCTTCAATTGGCCGATTTCCCCATTTTGTACTCAACAGAGAGAAGTAAATCGAAAATAACAAATATGAATAATATTATTACACAAACTCCGATAACACCATAAGGATGTAGGAATTTAGAAATAGGTGCAAAAACAGGCCAAATCCAAAGTAATAATTATAATGAAAGTGTCTGTCTCT